GAAGACGAAAATCGAGAAGGGTTCTAGAAAATTTAAGATCCAAACCGACGCTGTTAACGGCACCGACATAGGACGATGTCATCATTGTCGGCGCCGGTGTTGCGGGTGCTGCTCTAGCTCATACTCTTGGCAAGGTAAATTCTGTTTTCTTTTAATTATTTTTCTTTTCTACTATAATTTACTGCGTTCTTTTTAGTTGATTGATTTTGTCGAATATAGTATTGAAATTTGGTCATTATTCATTGAGAAAAGTTATGTTCTTTTAATGAGATTTCTTTTTTTTTTTTTAATACAAGAAGAATTGGGGTTGTTAAAGAAAATCTGGGTTGTCATTGATTTGGCTTGAAATTTAGTTAATTATTGCCTGCAAGTAAGCTACACAAGGATACGCTTTACGAAATTGGCTTGCTTAGGAATATCTTATCGTAACAACAATCCAGTTTGGAGTTTGATTTTGTTGACGTAATTATATATATATATATATATATATATATAATTTTTCGTTTGACTGTTCTGTTTAGATTTTTATTGGTCTTGAGTCTTGACTGCAAATTTGGATCTTCTGCTCATAAGGATTGTAGATTTTGGAGTTTGACAAGTGTTTTTGGGTGGCTAAACAGTGCAAACTATATCAGATTGTTAGCTATTGAACTTAGCATTTAACAAACTTTGCTAACTAAATGAAGACAAGGTCAGTGACCAGTTAATGGTTTGATTTGAACTTTAAAGTCAAAGAAACCTCAATTTGGATTTCGTTTTGTATTGTTGTCTTTCTTGTAAGATTCTACTACCTTTTAAGGAATTCTAGAGGTAGATTAACTTGGATTGGTTGTTGTTAAGGAACAAATACAATATACCGACTTGAACTTTCTTTCAAATTTGCTTTATAAATTGCAGATTTCTTGATTTTTAAGCATTAGAATCATAAAGGGCTTAAACAGGTGTTCATTTGCAATGATCCTTTTTGAGTTATTTAGTGCTAATTCATCTATAACTTTATTGCTAATTTCAGGATGGAGGGCGAGTTCATGTGATAGAAAGAGATTTGACAGAACCAGACAGAATTGTTGGGGAACTGCTGCAGCCTGGAGGATACCTTAAATTAGTTGAATTGAGCCTTGAGGGTATGCATGAAAATGGATATGCATCTTATCAAACCGTAAACAAACTTTTGGTGGTTATTAATAGCCTGATGGTTTTGAGTTGGATCTGTTCTCCTGATTTTTTTAACCTGTAAAATACAATTTATATCTGTTATGATAACAGATTGCGTGGAGGAAATTGATGCACAACGAGTGCTTGGGTATGCTCTCTTCAAGGATGGGAGAAATACTAGATTGTCATATCCCTTGGACAAACTTCATTCAGATGTTGCTGGGAGGAGCTTCCATAACGGGGCGTTTCATACAGAAGATGAGAGAAAAAGCTGCCACCATTCCCGAGTAATCTATTTTACTTCTATTATCCGTGATGGATACATATTAGTTGCCAACTGACTGCAGCATTGTTGATTTTGAAAATTTTCATTTTACAATTGGTAAATGGTTACAAGATTGCAATTAATCTTCTTTCACCCTTGTATGTTAAATTTTCAGTGTATGACTAAAGCAAGGAACAGTAACATCTCTGCTTGAAGAAAATGGGACCATTAGAGGGGTGCAATACAAAACTAAGGATGGTCAAGAACTAAGAGCTAATGCTCCTCTTACTATTGTATGTGATGGTTGCTTTTCAAACCTACGCCGCTCTCTTTGCAACCCGAAGGTGAAGTTGCCATCTTATAATTGTTATATAAATACTCTCTTTCTTCTTATCTAACAATCGTTATAAGCAATCATGGTCACCAAAATTATCTTTTGAGCTACAATTTCTGAAATTGCATTGTCTGCCTGAATACTAAATCTAATCCTTTAATTTGCATGTGCTTATGTTGCTTATGATGTTCTAGTAGGAAAGCAAATTTAGTGTTTTAAACTTTTCAACAGGTGGATGTGCCCTCTTGTTTTGTGGGTTTGGTCTTAGAGAACTGTGAACTCCTATTTTCAAAGCATGGGCATGTTATCCTAGCAGATCCTTCACCCATCTTGTTTTATCCAATCAGTAGCACAGAGGTTTGCTGCTTGGTCGATGTACCTGGGAAGAAAGTACCTTCCACTGCTAATAGGGAAATGGCAAATTATTTGAAGACCATGGTGGCACCACAGGTACCTGCTAATTGATGCATGATTTTGGATTAAGCCCTGTTTTTCTATGTAGTTTCACCACAAAATCTTTGTTCATGATCAAGCATCACTTGCCTGCTGCACATATTACCTTGGTTTAATCAAAGAGTGTGTCTGTTTCAGGTTCCACCTAAGCTTCTTGATGCCTTCATAGCTGCTATTGACAAAGGTAATATTAGAAGCATGCCAAATACAAGCATGCCAGCTGATCCTCGCTCCTGGAGCACTTCTAATGGGTGATGCTTTCAACATGCGCCATCCTTTAACTGGTGGAGGAATGACTGTGGCATTATCTGATATTGTTGTACTTCGGGATCTTCTTAGGCCTCTGTGTGACCTTCATGATGCAGCTTCCCTGGCCAAGTATCTAGAATCATTTTACACATTGCGGAAGGTAGTTAGATGCCTATGCTTTGATCCTGTTTTAGTAACCGTCGGTTTTTCACCATTTGAATTTATTACTGCCATATACCATATAGTTGGCTTCTTTTGCTATGATCCTAACCAAGTAAGCATGATTCTAAGATACTTGCATTGCATCTTTGGTTTAATTGCAACTATCACCAAAGAAAGAATTGTTTCAGCTGCTTGACCATCCTAGTGACTAGGATTTGGTGTCATCTTCAAAAATCTGAAACGATGATCTGGCAATGCTCGTGACATAAAGGACAATATTCTTGATTCTAGGCTACACTGCTAAAATTAAGGCCCTTTTCTTTCCAACCTGAATGGTCTTTGAAGATAACAATGAATCAGAGAAGGGTTTTCCTTTTTTTTTTTTTCAAAATTTTGCTGTTTGCTCATGATATGACGTTTATTGCAGCCTGTGGCATCTACAATAAATACTCTAGCTGGTGCCCCTTTATAAGGTGTTTTCTGCTTCCCCTGATCAAGCAAGGAAGGAAATGCGCCAAGCCTGTTTTGACTATTTGAGCCTTGGGGGTGTTTTTCAACAGGACCAGTGGCTTTACTCTCCGGTCTAAACCCTCAACCATTGAGTCTAGTTCTTCATTTTTTTGCTGTGGCAATTTTTGGAGTTGGCAATTTTTGCTCATGATATGACGTTTATTGCAGCCTGTGGCATCTACAATAAATACTCTAGCTGGTGCCCTTTATAAGGTGTTTTCTGCTTCCCCTGCAAGGAAGGAAATGCGCCAAGCCTGTTTTGACTATTTGAGCCTTGGGGGTGTTTTTTCAACCGGACCAGTGGCTTTACTCTCCGGTCTAAACCCTTAACCATTGAGTCTAGTTCTTCATTTCTTTGCTGTGGCAATTTTTGGAGTTTGGTCGCCTGCTTCTACCATTTCCTTCACTTCAACGCATGTGGATTGGAGCTAGGTTAATTTCAGTATGTATTTTCTGCCCTTTATGCTGTTGATCGATCCCTTTTTGCCTTCTATCCCCCCTTTGTTTCCTGTTCTTTTCCTTCCTTCGGTCTCTAATTATGAACTGAATAATCTCACTGCATAATTTATTTGACACGCTAGTCATACTTTCTTTTTGTTTCTTTTATGGACTGAATAAACTCGTTCTTTTTGTTTCTGTCAACTGATGCTAGTAACACTTGGCATAATTGGCAAGATAGAATCATACTTCACAATAATTCCAGCTTTTAACAGCAACAATTGGTTAATACATTTGTTTCTTTGTAATAACTTTGTTCTTTCTTCCCGAAGAAAAAATGAAGAAACCCTCTAACACAACATTTGAAATCCTAATTGAATGCAAGTTCCATTAGTATTCTGTAGAAAAACATAAAATCTGTAAATGGTATACTGGATTTTGCCACTTTATGCTGAACCTTTTTCCCCCTTTTCTGCAGAGTGCATCAGGTATTATTTTCCCCATAATCAAGGCAGAAGGAGTGAGGCGGATGTTCTTCCCTGCCACAGTTCCTGCGGTATATAGAGCTTCTCCAGTCGATTGATATGCCCCCTCATGGTAGCTTCAGCTTTTTAGCACCCAAGATAAAAAGCTTGAACTAACTCCCCTTTGCTTAGACTGGTGAACTGATGAGTGCATGTTATGTTACATGTATACCAAGGACATTGTACAACTGTGCTAGATTAGAGACAACTAGGAACTGCTCTTTCATTGTATGAACAAAATTCTCGTAAACAGAAATACTTTAACGGAAAATTTCTTTATTCCTGCAGTATAACATTGTCAAAAAAGAAAAAAAAAAAGGATTCAGCATGTTGACTAAATAGATTTCAACAATCAGAACATTGACGGGAAATATATTACATCCTTGAACAAAAGATAATGGAAGCTGGAGCCTGAAAGAATGTCATTCATAAAGCTGCATGCAATAAAATGATCACGTAGATTATTTTCCAGTAAAACTAACCACAAAAAATTGACCAATTTAAACTTATTGGATTGAAATGATAACGACTTACATGTTTAACCGACTTTACCATGATAGCCATGAGTTTGATCTCCTCCTTTACTAGTGAATTTACATTTAGCATTGCCAAGTCTATATTGTAGGTTTCTTTTGAAACCTCTCAATTCCAATCATAAATCGCCATTGTCCTTATGGACAATAATGGCGAGCAAACAATTCTTCAGCATGGTATCTTCAAATCTTGCATTCGAATCCTTGGTCAACTTGAAATGATCTCCATATTCTGGCCCTCAGATCCATTCATCATGGCCAGCTTGTCCAAAACTAGTGCTACAGATGAGTTAGTAATGAGATGTACATTTTTATTTTACACTTCCTAAATCAACCATAACGTTTCTTTTTCACATCCACCCTATATTGTGATTCATACCCAGGAGCGATCTATATACTGATCCAACTTGAGCCAGGTTCCTTCATCGCCCCAACATTTTTCATGGTTTCCCTCACTTTAGCTGCTTCTTCCCATTGACCAGCAGCTGCATAAGTATTGGACAAAAGCACATAAACTGATGGATTATTTTGCTCTGTTTCAAGGAGAAACCCAGCAATAATTCTTGCAAGCCTTAGGTTACTATGAGCCGCACAAGCACCGAACAAGGTCCACCAGATATTAGAATCAGGTTCAATATGCTGACTTTCTATTACTCTTTCAGCTTCACCAAGGTACCCTGCCCGACCAAGAAGGTCAACCATGCAAGAAAAGTGATCTACTCTAGGCACAAAGCCATACTCATTTACCATGGAATTGAATATCCAAGTGGCATCATCAACTAAACCAGCATGGCTGCAAGCAGAAAGAAGAGCAGTAAATGTTGCTTGATCAGGTTTGACCCTACCTGCATCTTTCATTGCCTTGAAACAATGGATAGCTTCTTTACCTTCTCCATGCTGTGCAAAAGCAGAAATGAGGGCATTCCAAGAGATTGTGTCCTTTTCAATCATCTCATTAAACACTCTCAAACACCAATTCAAAATGCCACATTTTGCATACACTGTGATTAGTGCATTGCCTAAAGATGTTTCCAAAGAAAGATTATGCCTGAGGATGTAACCATGAAGTTGTTTCCCATGACTCATGGATGAGATGCTGGCACAAACACTCATAGCAATGCTAAGTGTATATGCATTTGGCCTGAGGTTTGACATCAAAAGCTTGGATAATTGCTCTAACCCCAGAGCTGGGTACCCATTTAGAAAAAATCCAGATATAATAGTATTCCAGGAGATCAAGTTCTTGGGGGAAATTTGAAATAATTGATAGGCATGATTCATCCTCCCCTGCTTAGAGTATGAAGAAACCAATGCATTGGAAAGCTGGATTCTTGAAATGAGTCCATTTTTAAACACAAGAGCATGAATCATCTCACCCATTTCTAGGAATTCTGAACATGACAATAAACTTCCGAAAGTGAACTCATCCGGTTCAATCCCTGACCTTTGCATTTCCATGTAGATCAAAACTGCTGATCTGGCAGAGCTTCCTTGAGCATAAACTGATACCATAGTATTCCATGACACAAGATCCTTCTTCTCCAATCTCTCAAAAATTATGTGTGCAGCATTTGAATCCCCACAACTGGAATACATAGTTATCGCTGCATTGCTCACAGAGGTAGACTGTTCAAACCCCATCTTAACAGCTTGCGCATATACTCGATCCCCAACTCTACGACATACGCACGAACTCATTAGACTTACAAAAGTCAGTTCAGAGGGGCTCAAACAAGCCTCTAACATCTCCCTAAACATTGCCAAGGCCTGCTCAACTCTTCCTGCATTCATTAAACCATTTATCATCACGTTAAAAGTAATCCGATCGTGCACAAAACTCTCTACTTCTTCAAAAACCTGGCATGCTTTTGGGACATCTTCAGAATTAAAATACATAGTAATTATTGCATTAACCACAGATGCTCGAACCAAAAACCCAGTTTTAACCACCAAAGCTTGCACTTGCCTCCCGAAACCCAACTTTTCACTAGAGCACTCACTCAGCACACTAGCAAAGCTATAATTATCATGCTTAAAACCCAAAAAATGCATTTCCTTAAACAAACCAAACCCAAAGTCTTCGTACCCATTTTCCACGCAACCCGTAATCATCGCATTCCAAACTGCCACTTCTTTCTTAGGCATCCTATCAAACACCTCACAAGCATAGGGAATTCCTCCCAACTTTGTGCATGAAGACAACAATGTAGTCCAAGAATAAACATCTGGATCATTTATTTCATTAAAAAACCTTTTAACAGAAACTAAATGATGGGCCTTTGAGTAGAGAAAAAGCAGCGTGTTGAAGACATGAGAGTATGCTTTGAAACCAGACTTGATGGCGTAGGCGTGGAGTTTAGTTCCAAATTCTAGGTTGGGGAGATTGGCACAGGCTTTGAGAGTGGTGGAGAGCGTGTAGTGGTCGGGTTTAACGTCGTCGTACAGACAGTGAATTTTGTCGAATAGATTGAGGGCATCTTGGTAGTGAGTAGAGCGAGTGAGACCTGCTAGGTGAGAGTTGAGCTTTATCAGCTGTTGTCGGTTAAAACGAGTTTCAGTTATGGTAGTTAACCCTTTCGCGAAATAGCCAGGGAGCATTGTCATCGGTCAATTTCCATCTTTTCTCATTTTCTCTCGGAGCAGGATTCTTTATATCAATGTTGTTTTGCTTTTTAGATTATTTTTTCCAAGTTGGGCCCAGAAAATCAAAACTCAAGCTAAAAAAGATTGGGAGCGAAAGCTCTAATCTGGCCCAAAAGTTCACAATTTCAAGAGTTCGAGCCCGTCCGAATGGTTGGCGAGCTTTTGAGCCATGGATTCCTGGGGCTGGCTCTCTCTCTCATTTTTTTCCTGTCTTTCAGTCTTCACCGTTCTGAAACTTTCCCCTCCGAGAAAATGTGAACATCTGCTGATAAATAGCTTAATCCTCACAAACAACATTAAACGATGCTCAGGTCCTCTTCCATAACGCTCTCTCTTATCCCTAAACGCTGTTGTCTGTCACTCTTCTTGTATCCAAACGCCCAGCACTTCCACATCATTCCCAACAACAACGACAACGACGACAGCAACAACAACAACAACACCCTTCTCTCCACCAATTCAAAACCTGGGTTCGGTTTAGTTACGTTGGAACCCGAACAATCCAACATTAAAGCCGACAACGACCAACATACCGACGACTTTGCCTCCGATGTCGAAAAAATCTATAGAATCCTCCGAAAATTCCACACTCGAGTTCCCAAACTAAACCTCGCTTTACAGCAGTCCGGCATTGTTTACCGTCACGGTTTAACCGAACGAGTTTTGAACCGTTGTGGCGATGCCGGTAATTTAGGTTTCAAATTCTTCACTTGGGCTTCGAAACAACCTGGCTATCACCCAAGCTATGAAATTTACAAAGCAATGATTAAAATTTTAGGCAAAATGAGACAATTCGGTGCCGTTTGGGCCTTAATTGAAGAAATCAAAAAGGAAAATCCCCAATTCCTTACGGCGGAATTATTTGTTGTTTTGATAAGAAGGTTCGCTTCTTCAAGAATGGTTAAAAAAGCCATCGAAGTGTTTGATGAAATGCCAAAGTACGGCTGCCCACAAGATGATGCCGTCTTTGGCTCTTTATTAGATGCTTTATGCAAAAATGGGAATGTAAAAGAAGCAGCTTTGATTTTTGAGGAAATGAAGGTAAGATTTAAGCCGAATTTAAAGCATTTTACTTCTTTGTTGTATGGTTGGTGTAAAGAAGGGAAGATTTTGGAAGCTAGACATTTGTTGGTTCAAATGAAAGAAGCCGGTTTTGAGCCGGATATTGTGGTTTATAACAATTTGTTAAGTGGGTATGTTTTAGGAAACAAAATGGGGGATGCTTTTGATTTGTTGAAAGAAATGAGGAGGAAAGGGATTGACCCGAATGCGAGTTCCTATACCATTGTGATTCAAGGGCTTTGTAAGGCTGATAGAATGATAGAAGCGATGAGGGTTTTTGCTGAAATGGAGGAAAATGGTTGTCAAGGTGATGTTGTGGCTTATACCACTCTGATAAGTGGGTTTTGTAAGTGGAGGAAGGTTGAGAGAGCTTATGAGGTTTTGGATAGGATGATAACAAAAGGGCTTATGCCAAATTCGTTGACTTATTTACATATTATGTTGGCTCATGAGAAGAAGGAAGAGATAGAAGAGTGTTTGAAGTTGATAGAGGAGATGAGGAAGATTGGTTGTGTTCCTGATGCTGGTATTTATAATGTGATTATTCGATTAGCTTGCAAGTTAGAGGAAGTGAATGAAGCTGTACGAGTTTGGAATGAGATGGAAGGAAGTGGATTTAGTCCTGGAGTTGATAGTTTTATTGTTATGATACATGGTTTTATTGGGCAAGGGTGTTTGATTGAAGCCTGTGAGTATTTTAAAGAAATGGTTGGAAGAGGTCTTTTTTGTGTTCCTCAATATGGGATTTTGAAGGATTTGTTGAATTCTTTGTTGAGAGCTGAGAAGCTTGAAATGGCCAAAGATATTTGGAGTTGTATCGTCTGTAAAGGATGTGAACTTAATGTGTCTGCATGGACAATATGGATTCACGCCCTTTTCTCAAAGGGGCATGTGAAGGAGGCCTGTTCATATTGTCTGGAAATGATGGATGCGGATCTAATGCCACAGCCGGATACTTTTGCAAAGCTCATGAGGGGCCTGAGGAAACTGTATAACAGGCAGATCGCAGCAGAGATTACAGAGAAGGTAAGGAAGATGGCTGCAGATAGAGAGATCACTTTTAAGATGTATAAACGGCGGGGAGAGAGAGACTTAAAAGAAAAAGTAAAGGAAAAAGCAGATGGTAGAAAGAGGAGGGCTCGTCGACGTCGGTGGGGTGGGTCCCGCAGTAGAGCTGACATTTTGTAGTTTCAGTGCAAGTCCATTTCTCAAGTAGTGAACCCGCTCTCAGAAATATTGGATAGATTGCTTCTCAGACAGCAATGGGATTTGCATTTGTTATGAATTGGAGAAGTGAGGAGCCTCTATATTGTTTAGAAGCAGTCAACTTGTAAAGGTAGTTGGAAAGAACCCCACGATTGCTGCTTTTAGATTTTAAGTATTTTATCTTGCGCATTGTCACTACCTTTTTGGTGCTTGTCCTATTTATTACATAGCCTCCTTCCTAGAAATATTTTTTATTCAAGACTTGGCTGGGCTGCCATTGAATTCTCATCAGGCCTAGAATCATTGATGATTTGGTAGCTTTTTTCTGATTATGTGGAAGTGGTCATTATAGCTAGTATTAGTAATTGTATGTGAGGGAAAATGTGTTTTTATTTTATTTCTTATTTTGCTGTATATTTTAGTGGCATGTGGAAGTACAGCAGAATCGTAGCAAAAGGAGTTTGCAAACCAATGGTCGAGAAGTGGCAAATATGTCACTGCATCTTCTGGAACTAACCCTTTCATATGACGGCACCCACTAGATTAACCAGAAATTATCAATAATTCAATTTTCAATCACATTCTTTGGAAATAAAAGAAGTTGCACATGTTCGTAAGATGGATTGTTTGAAGGCAAGATGATCAAACAATAAAAATGATTTGTGGTTTAGTATTGAGTTTGGTGGCTCCTTAACCCTCTTCATCATTATCATTCCATAGCATTCTATATTAAGTTTGGTTCCTCTACTAGGAATGTTCTTCATTTTGATTTCCCTCATTTACACTATACATGAGGATGAAGGTTACCCTGCATAGTTTTCTGAAGTCAAGTTAAGCTGGTTTTTTTTAATCTTAAATTGTTTGACTTGTGTGTTTTCCTTCTCATATTTTAGTTCTGCCCCCAGATACCTTTCTTATATGAAGATTATTATGGTGTATTACGAATCTTTTCTTTAGAAAAATGACACCTTTGTGATCAATAACTTTACTTTTTTCTTTCAGGAGAACTTATAGTCATATTTACTCCACATGTTGATGCAACTCTTAGACCATTACTGAGCTTCTACATAAATTGTGTTCGTGAAACAACCCAGCAGGGTGGCTGTTGCTTTGCAAACCCTCTTTCATCGGTATCATCATTCAAGATGGAGCAAAACTGTGTGTGCTCATTGATTCTTCCAACAAGTGATGGGAGATAACTTTTTTATAATTGAGATGGTTAGAAAATGTGCCATAACCGCTGTTTTTTTTTTTTTTTGCAAGCAAGGGAACGAAGGATTTCCATTCGTTAATTCTGCTACTGGTTCCATATCCACTTATGCTGATAAATTTTGAAAATCAAGCAAAGCTTATTCTTGGGGGCAACCAACATTCTAAACTATGCCTAGTTTATGGGAACTTTTTTTTTTTTTTTTTGAGATGGGATAGTTGAGAACTTGAGTACTAATAGAATTAATTTTACTATTAATTTCAATATTTAAGGAACTGCTTGTTGTTCTTCAGTTCATCAATTTTACGTTGCCCAACTTTAGCAATCATCTTAATTGGCAAACAATGAATAGTAGAATACAAAATACTTCCTTCCAATATTCAAATCTGTTGGTTTCCGATTATGCTATGCATAATGAAATTGAAATTCTTCTTCCTTTCTGTAGATTTGTGCCTTCTGTAGTTTGCTACCTGTATGGAGATATCATTTAACTTTCATGACGATGATCTGCCTCATCAAAGATCTCCTCCTGCATGGGAAAAAATAGTAGGGCCATATATATATATGTATATTTCCTGCTTTGAGAGTCGATGGAGGAAAATTCATTAGAAAAAAAGTTTATTAGACTTACTTGCAAGAGCTCTTCAATAACATCTTCCAGCGTTATTATACCAGTAGCTTCCCCCTCTCCATTGTTCACAGGGAGTGAAGCATCATTGATTTGCAGTATTTCTGTGTGGAAGCCCCTTGCCCATTTCTTGCTTTTGGAGGATGCTCTCTGTGAATTTCCATCTAAATTCTTCCACTTATTGATTGTTCTTATGCTTGATAAATATTTCCCTGGTTGATGCTTTTCACCATCGATGTCCACCTTCACATCTCTGTTCAAGTGTTCACTGGCTGTATGCTCTGTTTTATTGTTCTGCTTCACAACAACAGCCATATGGCTGTGACCTTTCCGAAACTCATTTAGTATGTCATATAAAGGCATTGTCTCAGGAACCCTAGCACACACAATACAAATATTAAAATGTCAGTCAATGTGATCTTGTGCTTGGTTTAGCAAATTACAATTTTATTACTTTCATTATGTTTTGGATCTCTAATCAATGAAAGCCATAGATGTGAGATTCTGCTGCCATACATCCATGGTCCAGGACTGGTGCATGCCTTCTTTTTGATAATTTCTTCATAATTCAGGTCAGTGCATATAATGGACTTTTTAGAAGGTAACTCAGAACAATTGAGTATCACAATTTTAGGTTCCAGAAAAGGAAAAAACATTGCTTTAATAGTTAGGTTTCTCACTCGTACTTCCTCAAACAAGATCTTATTATGCATATCTTTACCCATTGTATTTGTGTATGTAGCTCAGGATAAGTAAACTACCTTGGAATCCTGCGAATGGTGATGTTTTTTACAGGCACCTCATCAGCTGGATGGATGGTTAATAAGTTCTTCACCTAATATTAAGACTAGATAATTAGTGAACTTCTGACACTGCATACCATTTTCATTGGACTGACGAGCAGAAAAGATAACAAGTTAACAACAAGAGATGAGTTTGCAGCAAGAATTTGATGATTTTCAAGGTTTCTGAATGAGTGATAACAGAGAAATTAAATTGTCACAAAATGCTGTATAAATCAATGAAAATTACCAAAATAAGTCCAATTATGTTCTCTAGACGCTCATGGTAAACAGGTACCCTGCCATGCCCTTTCTCCATAATCAACTTCATCACATCCCTGCATGTTCTTATAATGCAGATAGTAGTTAATGCATCTAGTAAATACAACTTAATTTTCTTTATCGAGGCTCTTCGTACCTGTCCAATTTAGCATTGATATTGACTGCAAACGTTTCTGATATAGGAGTCATTGCGTCCATTGCTGTTTTCTCACTTAGTTCAAGAGCTCCTGCTATGATTGTTGTCTCATCACGTGTCAATTCTCCACCTTTGCCAGCCTACAAAAAAGTCAGAATGTGTACCTTTGCTGCTATTGATTGATTCGATTCATAGTTAAGGGCCTCTTCGTACCTCATTACCATGCAAATCAACAAGCGTTTTCAACTCAGCACGGCGGAAAAGAGCCTCATGCCCTTCCCCCAGGAGAAGGTCTAATAGCTAATAAAACAGAAGCAGTAGTCAGATATGGGTTGTCAAGTACAGAACTTAAGGTGAGAAAACTTCAAATGAATTTTCACCTTGCTTATTGGATATGCAACTGGAAAACAAATCCAAACAAGAATTTGAACAAACGGAGCAACTTTTGCACCAATGGCCAAACCATATCGGGTACAAACTGCTTGGGGAATAATCTGGATTGCAAAGAGAATAGCAAGAGGTAGATGTACAAAACTGAAAGGAAGCATTTGGCAAGTTGAAGCCATCCTATTTAGTTCGGACCTAAATTGATTGAGCCCAAATCAAGTAGGGTTAAACTTAATTACTTATTTTATTTTATTTATTTATTTATTTTCATTGTTTTGGTTTTATCCTTTGGAACATATATGATGTTGATTATGTATTTATTTTTTATTAGTTTTTTTAATTATCTTTTATATATATATATTATTAGATTAGGTATTAAAATAATACGATAATAGTAAAAAGTAATAAAAGTTAATTCTTAAAATATTAAAATAATAATAATAAAAAAAAGTTTTGCCGGTGAATCAATGTGAGAAATATGGATGTTATCAAAGTTAGAATTGGATTTGATTTGTAAAAGGATAAATTCTAGTTTTATGATAATACAAAAATCTTGTCAAAAATTGAATCACAGTGAATCCAAAACTCTTCTAAGTGTCCTTATAAATAAACTTGTTATCAACAAAGAATAAACACACAAAAATAAGAGGCAAAAATAGAGAAAGCAATCAAGTTCAAATTTAATTTAGAAAAGTTTTTGGCAGAGATTTTGTTTTAGTATTGAAAAAGTTTGATTTGGTTTTTCTAAGGTCTAATTGGTATTTTTGAGGAGTTTTATAAAATTTTGAAAAATTCTAAAATTTTTTAGAATCTATTGAATTTTTTTGGCGACAATCCTAAATTCCAATGACTTTGTGGCGAGATTTTCTAGTTTTCAGTGTTCCAGTTTCCAGAATCAAGCACATATTTAATCAAAATTCATTCAATTTTAGAGAGAGATTGGAGAAAAAAAGAAGAAGAGAAAGAGTTAGGGAAATTTGAGGAGAAAAGCAAAATATTTGGCTTTTATACCCTACTGAAACGATGACGTTTTGGTGTTTAAATTCTTATAGGATCCGTGTGTATTTGTTGCCAACTCAATCTGAGCACTTGACTCGTAAACCCATCAGACGAATCGTGTTCCAGTTTCTTAACTCCAGTTGAGTCGAGCCGAGCCGGTAGTAGTTGCCCGTCATCTCTATAGCTAAGCCATGCCTTAGCTCCAGTCGAGTTGGTTTTTTATTTTGGTATCTGTTTTTATGATTTTTTAATTTTTAATTTTTGTTTTATGTTATTATTTTATTCATTCATTTATTTATTTTAAAAAGTACTTTGCATGATAAATTTTTAGGAAAAATCAAAACATAATTATAACAAATAAAATAAAATAAAACTTTAGTAAAATTTTGGGAATTAATACTAATTATCCAATGATGAAATTTTTAGAAATTAGAAATGATTAATTTCTATAATATTTCTATGTAAGAATTTTTTTTTAAATTTAACCAAAATGGAGAAGAATTTAGATAAATTTTCAATAATAATAATTAATTTTTATTTTTAATTTTTTAAAAATATTTAATAAAAAATAAAATTTAATAAAAATTTGAGATTGAATTAACAATTATCCAATGATAAGAATATTAGAAATTTCAAATAGTAAATTTTTTAAAAAATTTTTAGATGAGGAAATTTATCTAGATTTGACCTAAACAGTAAAATAATTTAGATGAAATTTCAATAAAAATAATTGTATTTTTTTCAAACAAAAAATTAAAAATTAAAAATTTAGGTGAAACACTTGACAATTATTCAAAGATGAAATCTCAAGATAAATCACAAATTGTTGAATTTTTATAAGACTTCTAGGTGAAAATTTTTTTTTTCTAAATTTATTCCAAATTGTGAAAAAAATTTAAATGAGACTTCAAAAAATATTATCGTATTATTTTCTTTCCAAAGATTAAGAAATTAATAAGAGTTTAAATTCTAAATAAACCAAAATGGTGAAAAATTTAGAAATGAAACTTGTAGAAAATTTTCTAAATATACCAAAATACTGAAAAATTTAAAAATAGAAATAAAAAAAAATTATGAGGATGAAATTCTTAGAAATCGTAAATAAATGATTATTTAAAAAATTTTAGGTAAGAAAATATTTTTAATTTTGGCCCAAATGGTGGAGGAATTAGATGTATTTCAAATAAAAAAAATTTGATTAAGCTTTCTGACGATGGAGCCTCTTCAAAAAAATAAATGAGATTCTTGAATACTTTTGATGTGAAGAAAGTATTTTTAAGAATTCTACCAGATTGATGAAGAAATATTAAAATTTATCTATAATATTTAAATATCAAAATTAAGACATTAAAACTATGAACTTAAGGATAGTTTAAAATAAAATAGTACCGCCCATTGGATAGGCATGTGGGGGTGTTATAACTTTTCTCATATGTAATTGACCTTACGAATCCTGTTTTAATTAGTAAACTAGAACCTATTTTTTAAGAACCCTTAATCAAGCTTAGGAACTATTTAAAAGGATATATTCATTAGGTGGCCAACCACACCTAGATAAAAGATTGGTGGCTACTTATCTTACTAAGTCTAGCTATAGATTTATGAATCTATACGTTATGACAGTTTGACGACTCTACTGGGGATGTCGAAAGTCAGGTCAGTAAACTTGTGTTAACCAAAGCCTAAGTTAAAATTAAGATTTTTTTTCCTTTAAATGTTTTATCTATTTATAATTGTACCATATTCTGTCATTCACTTGCATTTGCATAATTTGAGCTTTACACCCGAGCTCGAGCCCTTAGGAGAAAAAAGTACCTATGTTCTAGTGAGATTTCATGTCTTTACCTGGGCTAGCAAAACACTCTCACTCGAATTGAACCATTTTCGTTTGTAACCTATAATGGTGGAGAATTAGAATACATTACTAATCTATGATGGACAATGATGTAAGAAATAATTTGAGAACCTTTAGATTTAACTTGAACCATATATAGTTGATCTTATATAGCCTAACCCATAATTAGAGCCATGTTTCTTTGTACCTTTTAGAATTAAACCAAAGTTTAGGAATCTTGCTATTTTATCTGCTTCCTATGCGCTAACTAATTTGGTTTTATGTTTCCATGATGTTGAAATGAACCAATTTTTTTACTTGTTTATTTTCTTTAAATATTCATAAAACATGTGTAAATATTGCATATAAAAATTGCCCTGAAGTTATTTTCATAAAAAACTTTCATGGAGTCCACAAATCATTTGGTTTGTGCCTCATCTACCTTTGTCAAATATGAGTTACCTAATTATCTGAATGTTGAGTTAGAAAGGATCCAATGAAAGGAGAGAGACTGCTTACCACTAAACTATATCTCTACTTTACCAAAGGAAGTTCATTTATGCCTCAAGCAAAATAACTTGAAAGAGTTGTTAGAGATATGAAGATATGGGGTCAGTTTAAAGAGTTAGCTTTCTGCAAAAAGTATGGTTATATTACATATCCCTTTCAATAGTAGTTGAAAACTCTTTCATTAGAGCAGTTATCCAATGTTGGGATCTTTCATATAGGTGTTTCATCTTCAATGAGGTAGACATGACATTGATTATAAAGAAGTACTCTACATTGATGCGTTTGCATTTTAAATTAGATAAGATATATGTTGAAAGGCAAAAACCAGCATGTCATAAGAAATTAACCGATCTTATGAGGGTTAAAAAGAAGATGTAAATGTATAAGTTCAAGAAAGAAGTAACCATATTTGTTTGCCTTGGGAGTTTTTTCATGATTTCATCACAAAACATCTGAATGATGACCAAATGTTGGATACATTTGCTTTGGTGGTATATGGCATGGTGATTTTTCCTAGGATCTTAGGTCATATTGAGATAGAAATGATTGATTTCTTCTGGCATGTAGAAAAAGATTGCAACCCCTCATATATAATCTTAGTAGGAACAATTAGATCCCTGAATTATTGTCATTAAAAGAGGAAAAAAGTTTTATTGGATGTGTACCATTGCTATATTTATGAATAAAAAGTCATTTTGAGTGGAAAAAGAATGCATTCTTGAAGCTTTAGTTCTGCAATCAAGCCCTAATCAAGGAGTTCTGTAAGAGTGAATGGCTAAAACCCAAATCTAAAAAGGGATGGATGGTTTTATTACAAGGTATTACTTGTACTAAGGTAAAATGGATGGTCACATAGATGAATCGTGAACTGATGTTATATCAGTGCAAAGATAAGACTGGGGTCCCACTTTTAAGTTTATAAAGAGCAACAATTTATGCACCACTCATGGTATGAAGATAGTTCGAGACTGAGTAGTTTGTCCCTATGACACACAAGCTCACTTAATCAAATTTTTTATATAGTGAGCCAAAAATGCTGCAAATGGTGGATAAGATGAGTAAGGCTTGGAAGAATCCCAAGAGGGTGAGTCCTGGGTCTTTCACTGATAGGGTCACCCTAGGATATGTGATATAGAGAGCCAAAAAGGGTAAAAAAATTATGTTCACTTCTAAAGATTCTTGTTAGTCAGTGGAACAACATATAGAAGAGGTACCTCAAAATTGGAACTTACAATAAAAAAGTTTGAGTTTAAGAGAGACAATTTGAAATAAGAAATCCAAGAGCTTACAAAAAAAAAAGAATGAAGGAAAAAACAATGAAGCAAGAGGCCAAGATGATGAAAACCATTAAAGAACAAGACACAACTATTAGCAACTTGTCAGAGTTGCACCAAAAATGCAAGAAGACGACTATTGAGGTAGAAAAATAAGGGGCAATGGCCTAAAATATGGCTAAGGTATGTGACACTACCCTTAATGAATTGATGGAATCACATTAAGAGCGTAAAAAACTGTGCATTCAATCCGAAGCCAAAAAGATAAACATCACTAATTTGAGGTGTGATAATGAAATATTAAAAAGAGAATATTCGTAGATGGAAGATGAATGTGTTGAATCTCAAAAAAAGAATGAAGCACTTAGAGAATATATTCAAGTTTTGAAATAGAGATTGAATGAGCAAGGAAATCACATCGTCGTACTCATAAAAAAGCATAGGGAGTTAACATATCAAGTTTGATGTAGCAAAAAAGAAAACTTAAGAT